AATGGGTATTACAATACTATAGTTGCAGTCTATGTGGATGATTTATGTAGGTATACTAGGCAGAACTGAGAAAGTTGTTCAAGAAGTGGGAGATATTTTATCCAAGAATTTTGAGGTCACAACAACAAAACAAAACAAAAGGTAAACAACAATTTTTACAATTGCTGCAAATTTTATGGAATTCTTCACCTGTCTGCTTGCCTTGAATCAAGAAAGATACCTACTTAGAAGAAGTTTTGCAAAAATATGACATGATAACTACTGTAAGATGGGCTCTGTTCCAATGAATCCTGGTACCAAAGCTCCAAAAGCAAGAGAGGGAGATAAAAAATCTATGTCAGTCAAAGATTGGAAGTTTTCTATTTCTTGCCATAAGAACAATTAGCTTATGCAGTAGACAAGTTACAGGGCCGTAACTAGAACTCTCGGCGCCCAAGGCCAATCCAAATTTTGGCGCCTACTACTAATTCTACCACTGTATAAAGATACAGGATGATTAATATTTTATCATCTCTAGCTTTTAACGTAGACAATCTTTCACGAGAGCCGGTAATAGAAAACGATTATACCCACTGTAATTTGACTCAACAAAAATAAGCCACTGTATAAAGATACAGAGTGATCAATATTTATTGTTCCCGGCTCTTGTAAAAAATCCTCCATAGTACAGTCAATCGGTACTTTTGCTGCGATTTTTTGGCAAAACGCATTTTTTTTTAAAATGTTATGGACCATGGGTGCATTAAAAATCTGAGTTTTTGGGAAAATTGCCCTTGTGCTAACTTCATCCCATCGATTGAAAGGGTTGAAAAACCAAATTTTGTCAATTTTCTCCACTAATATTGAATTTTGAAAAAATACAAGAGACCTTTTTTGTTTATTATTATTTAATACATTAGGAACGTGTTTTCAGTTTTTTTTCAACGCATCATCATTATACAGGGTGTTATGTCTTTTTTAATTATCAATTTTCTTATTTCAGCGTAAGACCTAAAAAACATGTTTCAATTTTTTCCCAAAACATTATTTTCATTTTTGAGGCCACAATAATATACAGGGTGTTACAAAAAGTTATTTGTAATATGGATTACTTCGTTCAAAACCACCTTTATAATTGTATATACATATATTGGGTAGGTATGTGACCAAATTTTACCCTCTCATCTTGTAATTGTTTGATAATCTCTTTTCCACACCACCCATAAGGTAGAGTTCAAGACGCGTTTTTTTTTAAAGTGGTCTCGCCATGTAAAGGCCTAATCCACTTAAGTTTAAGGTTTAACCTTCCGGAGCTCGCGCTAATTATTTAGGAGAGGACGCTCGTGCGCGGACTCACAATCCGCCGCCTTCAAATGTGCTTTTAAATGACTATTTCCAAAAATTGTTGGCAATAAATGATAAATGTTATTTATTTTAAGTTCCTATTCATCGAATACATTGATTTTGGCATCTTAACAGAACCCATTGCTAGAAAAAATGAAATACATTAATTTTGGCCAACTCAGCAGAACTTATTGCTAAAAGAATTCAAAAATAAACATTCAACAACACAGATTCTTATTGGAAATTGAAGTTTGTCTTATTGTGAGCGGCATTTATGACAAATAACAAGTGAATGCTCCTCGGAATGCTCTAAACACATATTTGTTGCATTCAATGCAAGAAAAATGAGAAGGTCTCACAGTGCACATTGGCTATTAATTGGCAAAAAACGCATAGACCAAGGTACCAATGGGCACTGACTCTAGGAGAACTCGGGATAGAAAGATACTTAAGATTGCAGCGCCGTGTTTTGTCGATTTTTGAAATAAACGGCAAAGTAAGATAGTTGTGGAGTGAGAGTCCGCGCGCGATCTCCGGAAGGTTAAAGTCAGAACTATAGTTCATTGTAGCAACGCGAGATGTCAATGCTGTCGCATTTCGAATTTCTTTTTTTGCGAAAATTCGAAGTATTATTCAATAGTTCAAAGCAGATTAGCAAGGCCAAAATGCAGCAATAATAAAACAGAATCAGTGTAATTTTACTCAAAAACATACTGGGAAGCTATTCAATATCGTATTTTTGCTAATTACAAAGTTTATAGGTGGTTTTGAACGAAGTAATCCATATTACGAATAACTTTTTGTAGCACCCTGTGTATTAATGTGGCCAAAAAACTGAAAATATTGTTTTGGGAAAAAATTGAAACATGTTTTAAGATCTTACGCTGGAATAAGAAAATTGATAGGTAATTGAAAAAATCATAACACCCTGTATAATGATGCTACATTCAAAAAAAAACTAAAAGAACATTCCTAATGTATTAAATAATAATAAACAAAAAATGACTCTTGTATTTTTTTTTGTAAATTTAATATTAGTGGAGAAAATTGGCAAAATGTGGTTTTTTCAACCCTTTCAATCGATGGGGTGAAGTTAGCACAAGGGCGATTTTCCCGAAAACTCAGATTTTTAATACACCCATGGTCCGTAACATATTTTTTTTTTTTTAAAGCGTTTTGCCAAAAAATCACAGATGCACCTGGCTTTTAATGTAGAAAATCTTTCACGAAAGCCGATAATAGAAAACAATTTTACCCACTGTAATTTCAGTCAACAAAAATATGTTAATGTATAAAGATACAGAGTGATCAATATTTTATTATTCCCGGCTCTTGCAAAAAATATTTCACGAAAGTTGGTAATCGAAAACAATTCTACCACTGTGCGTAGAGAAATGGGGTAATCTGAGGGGTAATCAATATTTTATTATCCCTGGCTCTTAATGTAGAAAATCTTTCACGGAAGCCGGTAATAGAAAACAATTTTACCCACTGTAATTTGAGTCAACAAAAATATGCCACTTTATAAAGATACAGAGTGATCAATATTTTATTATTCCCGGATCTTGTAAAACATATTTTACGGAAGTTGGTAATCGAAAACAATTCCACCACTGTGCGTAGAAATACGGGGTGATCAATATTTCATTATCCCTGGCTCTTAATGTAGAAAATCTTTCACGAAAGCCGGTAATAGAAAACAATTTTATCCACTGTCATTTGGCTCAACAAAAATAAGCCACTGTATAAAGATACAGAGTGATCAATATTTCATTATTCTCAGCTCTTGTAGGAAATCTTCAACGAAAGCTGGTAATCGAAAACAATGCCACCACTGTGTAGAGATACGGGGTGATTAATATTTTATTATCCCTGGCTCTAAATATAGAAAATCTTTCACGAGAGCCGATAATAGAAAACAATTTTACCCACGGTAATTTGACTCAACAAAAATAAGCCACTGTATAAAGATACAGAGTGATCAATATGTTATCATGGAAATCTTTCACGAAAGCTGGTACCTAATAGAAAACAATTTTACCCATGCACTGTAATTTGACTCAACAAAAATAAGCTACCGTATAAAGATACAGAGTGATCAATATTTTATTATTCTCGACTGTTGTAGGAAATGTTTCACGAAAGCTGGTATTCGAAAACAATTACACCACTGTGTAAAGATACGGGGTGATCAATTTTTTATTATCCCTGCCTCTAAATATAGAAAATCTTTCACGAGAGTCGCTAATAGAAAACCATTTTACCCACGGTAATTTGCCTCATTTTAGGTTATATACTAATTTTATTTGGCGATTTTCATAATTCTCAAGTTCAAATTTCAGTTCTAGGAGAGCCGGGAATGAGACTTTTACGCAGTCCAATTTCAGTTATTCAATCTGCAAGGATCAAAAATGAATTCTTCGAGCCTCTCTAAAACTGTCGAAACTCAATGTTCTATACTATTATATTGAGCTTTGTGAAAGTCTTCAGGCTATAGGTAAGTAAGTTCAAGACTAAAAAGTCTGTAGATAATTTGGAATTTGGGAATCTTCAAGTGCTGTGTATATTATACAGGAAATTATAAAAACTAATGCAAAACTGATGATAGAATGAAATAGGTGGATCGAAAGTACCTACTAGCAAAAGTTTCCAGGAGAGTTCCCCTAATTTGTGAATTTTCCAATCGAAAAAGGAGGTCAAAATTTTTATTAAAAGTTTCTGCAATAATTTTTGATAAAAATTCCGATCAATCGACAATTTATTAAATAATGTAAAATTCATGATTCTAAATCAGAATTGGATTAGTTTCCAAAATATGCGATCCCAAATTTGAAACTTTGTTATTAGAATTGTCAAGTATTCATCCTAGGTTTTAATATGTATGTATTAAATACATAATATATTATAGCTCGAAGAAACCTCCCTTGAAGCCACCTCAATCAAAGACTTTTAAGACACAAGAACACAAGATTTAAAAAAATTAAGTTAAAATAAACACTACAAAACTAGGAACAAACACAATGAAATCATAGCAATAACCAACTAAAAACTTACTACAAACAAATCATGCACAAAAAATCAAAAGACGGTTTAATCGAAAGTGTCACATTTTCGAAAAAGTCGGAGCCGCGTTTTTCACACATTACTTAAATGTTTATCTTTAATATTTATTACCTAACTAATTTGTATAAAAGCAAACATCTTAATTTTTTTAAATTATCAGCATTTTTTAAAAATAAATGGAAATGTCTATATTAGCAAAAAAATGCAGTAAATCGAATAATACCTAAGTACAATTTTATGTTTCATTCACATAAGTCATAGTCATTCGAATTAATACAAAATATGTACTACACATGTGTCCAGCAATTATCAAATTTTTGTTAGCAAAAATCACTTTATTAGAAATTTTAAAAATGTTTTAAAAAACCTCATCCCTAATTATTCAAAATTGAATTTACCAATCACAGTAGCTCTATAATCTGCATATTTTACCAAAAATAATATCCGGTCCTTCGACTCAAAAATTAAAATTCCCAGAAGGGCCCCTGATGGTCAAAAGCATTCCAACATAAATTTTAACTCTGCACGTTTTTCGCTAAACTCGATTCAAGCTCATTCACCAAAATTTTTCTCAAAAAAAAAATCACTTATAAAAAAAAATTATCACTACTTACCACCACAGTCCACGGTCGGTCATCGCGACCGTCAACCCCCCCTAAACGGGGAAAAAACCACAGCACTATAACCTTATGTGATGAACACACGCGAGTCCCGCGCGTAACTAAAAATCACCACTCAAACCATCATCTTCAAGCTCAAAGCCATCCACTTCCACAAGCAGACGCCGATGCGCGATTTCGGCACAACCTCGACAAAACCCGAAAAAAACCATCAACCCTTTCGCCTAAAACCGCGATTTTTTTTACACCCCTAGCCACACAACTAATAAAACCCTGTGTAAAATTTCAAGTCGATTGGGCTAAAATTGGGGGTGGTAAAGGGGGTTAAAGCAAAGCGTCGCAAAGTAAGCTTAAGTCGTTTTGGTGGGGGCCCGGTTGACTGAAAGAGTTGCACGAAAATATGGATCCAGTGCTGCGATGACGCTGCGGACGGGTGTGTGCCGGGCTGTTGCCTTGGCGGCCCTCGTGGTTTTTACGATAGTGACCAATGTTGATGCTGTGGTAAGTCGATTTTTTCGAGAATAATTTTTTTTCAAAAAAAAAAATAACTACCCCAATTTTAATCCCTTATTGTTGGTCAATAATTAGGGGATGTTACTAGATATTTTCATGTTTCATATTTGTGGATTTTTTTTTAAATCATGTTTTTGATGATTTTATGTGTTTTTCATTAAAATTCCTTATTTGTTTCCTATAAATTATAAGTCGATTTTTTCAAAAAAAAAATAAAAAAATAGGTTAGGGCTCGTGGGTTAAACTTTCTTCCCATGAATAATAAGGGTGCCCCAATTTTAATCCCTAGTTTTGGTCCCTAATTATAATTAGGGGATGTTAGTAGTGTGGACAGCTTTTCAGTATTTATGTTTGATATATTTGTAAAAATATATCTTCTGTTTATCTTATGTGTTTGTCATTCAGATTTATTATTTGTTTCTTACTCTATGAATTATAATGGTAGGTAAGCCTATTATTTCAAAAAAAAAAAAAAAAACTACCCCAATTTTAATCCCTTGTTTTGGTCAATAATTAGGGAATGTTAGAGAGTGTGGACCGCTTTTTAGTATTCATGTTTGATTATTGTAGATTTTTTTTTATATTGTTTTTATTTGTATTTTGTGTTTGTTATAAAGATTCATTATTTATTTCTTACTTTATAAATTATTGCTAGACGAAAAAACTATATGCAGTTTCAAACAAATGTGTATTGCTTAAAACTCCTTGCTCAATGGCTTAATGTACAAGTAACTAGTAATTTGAAAATATACATAACTATGGGGTTGGTACCTATTAGCCAAAATGCTAATTGATAACATGACAGGCGCAATGAAAACTATTTTGTTGTACCTATATGTATTATGCAGTTAAGTTGTTTTATAATTTATTATCTAATCCGAAAACACATAACAGTTTGGTATACTAAAATGTTTCAATGAAAAATTTTCTTATTTTTAATTTGCCTATGTATTTTCAAGTTATTTTATATTTGCTCCACGTGCCTTTTTGAAACAATTTTCGCTTTCAAAAGTAAAATGTTGTTTTAGTGATCACTTTGAAATTATTTTAAAATAACGGATATTAATATTAATGGAAACTGGAGTATTTCATGAAACGATTCCAATTTTACATTTTATAGCTGTCGTATAAGCATTGCAAACATTCCTCTGTGAATAATGTTGTTGGTCGAAAAAGTTTTCGGAAATTTAAAAAAATATTACTTAATATGCTAGTGACTGCATTTTCCTGGAATTTCGTTTTTCTTTTGACATAAGTATAATGTATAATGTCTAAAACTTTTAATTTGTATTCCTCATAATTCGTATAGGTAGGTAGCTACATTACAGAAAATGTATGCTTATTTAAGCAATAGGTAACAATTTGAAGGGCCAAAATATCACATAAATAGAATTTTTAATACCTATTTAGAAGTACCAGTCGTTCTAGTGACTAAACGTATGTCGCTTCTTGAACAGACAAATAAAATTAGGTTAGGAATTTCCTATTCGTACATGAATTCGACATATTAGCAATCGACATTCGTTTTTGTTGGTAATTTTTTGTTTCATCTGATTCGTGATTGATAAATTAATAAGGATGGGGTTATTCTAAATTTCAGTCTGACAAACGAATAATGCGGATTTAATTCTATCAGCTCAACTTCCTCAACTAAAGGGTCATATTTGCTTGTGCGAATATGCTTCTTCATCAAAATTTTTCCCGGAGAAGTCAGCCAAGATGGCAATGAGTAGCCCATAGTAGCTTTTCTATTATGATGAAACATTTTTTTTATGTGGAGTGACATTCGTTGCTGTGCAGAGGAGAAATCTGATGCAATGTAATGATTCATCCAGAACAGATTCCCATCTGGACACATTCAAGTTTTGCGATTTCAGCGCTAATTGAACTGTTCTCCAAATCGTACCATACTCTCTTTCTATTTGCTCATTTCCTTCTGGATTGTAACTGGTAGTTCTACTGGCAGCTATTCCTCGCTCTTGCAAAAAGTTCTTCAATTCTGAAGACATGAAAGCAGATTCACGATCTGAGTGTATAAGATTTGGCATTCCAAATAGTTGAAAAATACTTATCAAGTGCTTCTTAACGGAAGCTGCTGAAACATCAGGGCAGGGAAAAGCAAAAGGAAATCGGGAGTATTCATCGATTATAGTGAGTATAAATTTATTGCTTGTCGAATTTGGTAATAGTCCTTTAAAATCCATGGATAATCTTTCAAATGGAACTGCTGCTTTTATTAATGTTCCTTTATTTTTGAAAAATCGAGGCTTTACTTGTAAATAGACTGAACAGTTGGCAATCATTTCCTAATAACTGAGTACGGTAGATTTTTGCCACGAATCCAACGAATCATTCTCGTGACACCTGGATGACAAAGACTGTAGTGCAGATTTAACAGTTTCTGTTGTTCTTCTTTAGTATTTATAAAGGCACAAACCCTTGATAAAGCATCAGCCACTATGTTTTCTCTTCCTGGTCTATATACAATGTCATATTTGTAACAGGCCAATTCCAACCGCGATCGTTGTATTTTATCATTTTTTATTTTTCCAGCATGCTTATCATCAAACATAAAAAAAAAACAGAGCGTTGATCTGTTATTAGTCCGATTAAATAATGTCTCCATTTCCGAAGTGATTCAACTAGGCTTCCTTTTCGACTGACGAATGACGTTTCTCGCTTTCCGACAGTGTCCTTGAGAAAAATGCTATAGGAGCTCCTATCTTCTTTCAGAGCTTTGAAAGTCGATAGAGCTTCTTGTGACATAAAAAATGATTGTGTTTGCACGAGTGGTCTGATTTTATTCGAAAATCTTGGAATCCATTTCGCATAATGGGAAAACATTCCCCAATGCTCGTTTTAAAGAAGAATACTCTCCTGGTGAAGGCAATTCTAAGAATGGACGAAGTCGATCAGGATCAGGTTTGACTTGTTGATTTTCAATTTCATATCCTAGGAGATTTATTTTTCTAAGTCCGTACGTTGATTCAGTAGAGTTTATAGTAAGTTTATTCTTTTCAGCAACTTTGAAGATTTTTGTCATGCTCTTCTTGAGTCTTACCACCTACTGTGATATCATCAAGATAGGCATACTGATTATACTGTCAACAATTCTTTGAAAACTAGCAGGTCCATTGATAACACCAAAAGGAATTCTCGTGAATTGATATAGTTCGCCGCTCGCCTCAAATATGCACTCTTTAGATCTATAGTACTGAGAACTTAGTACCTTGACACTTTTGAAATAATGTCTTCCATGTTTGGAAGTGGATATGCGCCTAGTTTAGTGAATTTGTTTATAGTCTGGGCATAGTTGATTACCATTCGTCTCTTATGATTTATACTGGAAGTGACAAAAGCTTGAGCTCTCCAAGGCGAATTACTCTTTTCAATAATACCTTCAGAAAGCATTATCCGGATTTCTTGTTCGATAAATTTTAGGTCTTCTAGTGATTGTTTCTAAGATTTAATAGCTATAGGTCTGCAAGTGTTATTGAGATTCGTGAATAGCGATGCAGGAGTAATATCTGCTTGCATCAAAACGCATACTTTCAAAGTTGATGATGTAGAAAATCGTGTCCTAACATAATATCTGACCAAAGATTTTGCATAACCAGTAATGTCAAGTTTTCATATGTACGGGTATTTGTTTCTAGTGACACAGTACAACTTCCTTCAACTTGAGAGCAATGATATTGACGCCATATTCACTCGTTGCTGAACAGGAATTTGTGGAATCTCAAGTTGCTGAAGAAGAGAAGCGTTTATGAAACTTGATGTACTTCCTGTTTCAATAAGAGCTTTAACTGGTTGTCCACAAATGTTTGCATCAATTGTAGCTTTTCCAAGTCCTGGTGTCGAAACTGCAGTTTCAATAACTGCAGTAACGATGGAAGCTGATGTTGTCCTAGAGTCATGCTTTTTACTGTTACAAACTCTGGCGAAATGTCCTTTCTTGTAACAATTTTAACAAGTAGCATCTGAAGCTGGACAAAGATATCTAGGATGACGTGATCCTCCACAAAACCAACATTTCGCTAGATTCTTGGTAGAAGTAGCTTGAAGTACAATCAATTGGAGTTGCATTGATAGAATTTTGTACGAAGCTTTGTAAGTGAATTTCAGCCATTTCTAAAGATTGAGCTTGATTATGAGCCTCATTGAGACCAAGGGTTGTATTTTCAAGCAATCGAGTGCATATAGAGGAGTTGTTAAGGCCTTTTATAAAAGCATCCCTGAGGTAGCCATTCTTATGATCTTCTGTAGTAACATCTTGAAAATTACATTCAGTATCTAAAAGGTTTAAGGATTGTAGATATTGGTCTATAGATTCGGAAGCTTGTTGTTGAGGGGTCGCTAATATATGTCTAGCATAAACCTCATTTTCAGGTTTGATGTAAGCTTTCTCTAGTATAGCTATAGCGGAAGCATATGTTGAACATTCACTCACCAATGCATACACATTAGGAGCTATATGATTTACCAGAAGTTGTAGTTTAATTTCATCTTTGAGAACTTCAGTTTTAGGCTTGTTGGCAACAAGAAATTTTCGAATGTCTTCTTCCAATGAGTCCATTTCAGACTAGCAGAGCTGGTCGACGAATCTACTTCGAATATGTCTGGACGATAAAAACGTTCCACTTCTTCGCTGATTTTTTAAAAACTTTTGTCCAATAAATTGTAATGAATAGAACTTCCAAATTATACCAAAATATTGGCTTTATTAGACAAAGAACTTGACATAACAAACGTGTAACAAACTGATTAATGCAATGACAATCATAGATGACAATAACATATCAAATGACAAAATTAAACAACTGCTAACGATATACTATTGAATACAAATCATTTTCAGAACACTAATCAGTTATCGCTTTTCTTTTACTTAACTTTATCCAAAAAATTCTTCATAAAATTCTTGTTTATTTAATATCCACAATGGAAACGAATACCTGAATAATTCGGCACCGGTCTTGCATAATGGC